GGGGGGGGGGGAGGGGGGGGGGGGGGGGGGGGGGGGGGGGGGGGGGGGGGGGGGGGGGGGGGGGGGGGGGGGGGGGGGGGGGGGGGGGGGGGGGGGGGGGCGGGGCCCCCCCCGGGGAAGACTATAGGGATCTAGTGAACCTTTGTCTTTGAACCATCGGAAAAATTACACCACATGAAGACAAAAACGTCCGATCGGTGAATTTCGGGGAAGGAGAAAGTTAAACAGCCCAAAAAGCATTGGGGGTGATATCTCACTATTTTGCTTTTGACATTAACCATTGTCTGTCGCTAGCTGTAGCGATACTTTTTTCTTGCAGCAATATCTGATCACAATGGGCACTCAACTACCATCACGTCAACTTTGGTCGTTTTGCTATTGGAGCTCTCTAAAAGCCTTTTACAGTATCTTGTTGTACTGAGCCGTCCAAAGTTATGGATGTTTGTCACTGTCACTATTGTATCAGTTAATACTACTGGCAATGCAATCTCATCGGGAACAGAACTGTATAGTCTCATTGTGTACGATAGTGCCATCAAACCAGCAGATCACTACGAGAAAACAAAGACCACATCAACTTAACACGGTGGCAACAAAGCCCAGTTGCTCATGTTCTTTGGAGCAATCGGCCAGTCGCATGTAGCCGTATGCGCTAACAGCATGTACTCAAAACTCAGTCAGTAGTTATCTTTACGTGTGTTTCTGATAATTGGCCATCTTGTCTTGCGTTTTGCTTTAATGGATGCACCAATGGAGGCGATGTGAACGCCATCAGCGAGATTTCTTGCAATGTGCTTTTTGGACGATATCATGGCTTTCGTGGTCGTTCCTATCCTTTTTGTTTTCTCAAAAGGAAGGGAGACCTCGTGCTACTTTGCACAAATAGCGGCAGTAAAGTTTAGTGTGGCCTTACGAATTATACGTTGCATTCATCAATCACGTTTGTGTAGTTGCTGGTGAGGACACGTTTACATCTTGTCAATCGCAAGAGCTGTTGTGATTCAATTGAAGCTGTCAAGTTTACATTCAAATTAAGTCTTGTACGTCGACGTGTTCGAACGACAAGAAGCTCTCGCAATTACAAACAAATTATTGTTACTCTCGATATCTCTGGTTAGACTGAACGCGTCGAGAAGTAAACTGTAGCAACTACAGCCTATGTCACGTTCAAACAGACACAATCATGTGCACCGTCTAGCCGCTTTCTTTCGTACGACCATGGATGTCAAAGCTACAAAGCTGCTACACGAAGTACAGTTAGCAGCCTTTGCCACCAGCAATCACTAAACATGACGTGCTATCGAATATAGCCATGATATTGACCATGAGAGACCAGACAAACGCGAAGGTAAGGTATGCCACAGTGATTGCACCCAGAACCTTGCTGCTGCCACCAGTACGTAAGAGCTCCTGTGTCTCTTCCTTTTGGCGAGGCAGGAACACTAGAAAGACCCAGGAGAAAGCCGTCATAGCGTACATAATAACTACGGCGTATGTGATGTCCATACGGATTGACTTATCGTCGGCTTGGATGCGCTCTGTGGTCAGGCTAAAGGGCTGGTCAATCACCACAGTCATGGCTGTGGCAAAGGGGCTGGACAAGTTAGACACCATGGTGATCAGACCATAAACGACTCCTTCGTTACCAACACCCGAAAGCTCGACGATCACAAAGCTAGAGATTACAAAGCTAACTCCGTACGGAAGCTGCACTGCAATTGGCAGACCGAGCCAAAACCATTGGCTACGGAACACATCCCAGATCGTGATAAAGGTGGTAATGCCATCAACAACGCTGACACAGATACCAGTAACCAAGATTATCCAGCGCCAGTTCCACTGCAGACCCCACCTGGACGTAGCCATAATACCGGCCATGAACAGCACGTTGCCAAGGACCTCACTTATTGTGCTGTTGATCGGAGTGACACCCACCATATACGACTGCACAGGGGAGCTGGCCGTGTACGAAATAGATGAGAACATACCTTGAAAAAAGTAGAAGAAGATGACTTGATACACCACGCGTTTTTGAATCAATTCCCACAGCTCCTTCATATAGACCCTGAAATTTATGCGCGGTTGCTTCTCTTCCTTAATTAAAAGCCAAGTTATTGGAATAACCGGCGCCGTTAGAACGGCAAGAATTGTCATGAGCTGTGGAAAAGTGATTGAAAAGCCAAAGTCACCGCCATACTCTTCACCGTTAAAGCAGAAGCCAGTGATGAGCTGGCCGATGATGACGAAGACTGTGCGCACGGCGTATATGGCCGATTGAGTCTTGCCACGCGACTCAAGTGGCTCGCGTTGTGCAAAGTCCACCACGATACTATCTGCACAGACGTCCGACAATATGTAGCCCACGGCAGCAAAGAACATGAGCATAACGTACTTGCCAGCCTGTGAAGACGCGTCAGCATTAATGCGCGCTCGAATCTCAGGTGTATAATCGGCCGGCTTGATTTTGCGGTCCGATGACACTGTGTAGTACGGGTCTCCCGCTGGCATACAGGCCATCATGATTAGCATGGTAAGACAAATACTCCATCCAATCACCATATATGGTCGACGACGATATCCCCATAGCGGCACGCAGTCGGACAAGATACCGTAGAAACACTTGAAACTCCATGGTAAAAATACCAGTGTTTGTGCTGTTGTTACTTGAGTACCCGATGCATTGAGATAGTTCTGGAGAAATGGATAGATCGTGGCTGGCAACACACCGTAGTTGAGTCCAACAGCAGCATACTGAATAAGTAGACCAATACTTTCCTTTTGCATGAGATTGGGCGCACTACCTTCACGCAAAGCTCCACCTTTAATACCCGTCGGATCGGGACTGCTTGCCTCCATAAAGTGGTTTAGACATTCAGTGTCACTGGGCTGCTTCACGTCAGTACCAAACGATGATCGACCAATGAGGTCACCTTTGTTAGGACTATGTAAAATTGTCATGACTGACGTTGCAATGAAGATGGAAGGTAGCACTGGAGTCGGAAAATGGAAAATGAGTTCCTCAAAAGTAGCAGCCACGTCAACAAGTCTTTGCAAATTGCAAAACTCTTGAAGATTAGAGAGACGGAAAAATCGTGTCTATTTGCAGCCCGAGATAGTGATTAAGGGCAGAGTATCCTCTTTCACGTTTTTGTGACCATTTAACATGGTATCGTGTACAATTTGCAGCTGAACAATCTACAAAGAAAGTGGTCGAGGATAGTCCCTGCCAAGAATATATAGAATAAATTAAACCATCAGGTAAATCGAATTTACCGGGACATGTCACCTACGATACACTTGTTGCATATTGCTATGGCCATGAGGCGAACATGGAAAGCACGTGTACCACCATGTAGACAGTATAAAAACTGAAAAGCACACCAAGACTATGTTCATGTGTATAAGACAGATGGTGTTTACGATCGCATCGAGACGAGGTATGCAGCTAGTAGTGAGCATCTTTGATCGTTCTGAAGCAGCTGCCCTGCGTCTCGTCCTTCTGCTTGAACAGATAGAGTTGAGAGAGAAGGTCTCACATGAGTACAAGAACCTTATGTAAAAAAAATGTCGTCTTTCTTCATCACGATTGCTGTGACATCAAACTGTCTACAGTGTCAAAGACGTAGCAAACGGCTAAAACAACTCTAGTCATGGTGATAAGAAAACTGCAATGGTCGTCACATTGCTCATGTTACCAACTTCACGACCACTAGTATTCCGTCTGTGAACTGGAAGTCAAAAGTTTAAGATGATTGCTTCATGTCTTTGTGCATTGTTAACTTAGCAGCTGTCGTCACTTGCGATTACAAGCTAGGATATGTAACATGGCCATAATGTTCCGCACCAGTGCGAAGATTAGGTTCAGATGGCAATGGCTACCGATTGATCTTGCTCAACCTGCCCTTTTTCGACAAGCGCTTTTGCACGAACTTCATTTTGTCCAGGGAAGTCTAGGATATGTAGCCATTGTGTAGATGTCCACCGATAATAATGCTTCATGAGTTTCAGCGTGGACGTAGCCGAAATGCCATGAAAAGCAAGTCACCAAGAGGATCACTGATGGTGCTATTGATTGGGATCACGTTGTCAATGACGAGAAGACTGCACAGATGAGCTAGTAGTGAACGGAATCCCGGCGATCATCTGGTACATCGCGCGCATGCAAATGATCTGCTCTAGATGATCAACTTCGGGTTTGTTCTAGTATTTGTTTAGGAACTGTGCTATGCAGACGGCCATTATTGTCTTCAAACAAGAAAAGGGTGAGCGAGAAGTCAAAGGTGCCTCTGTACTTGAGAGCAAAGCTTATAATCAAAGCATCAATGTCACAAACGCTCTTTGGTGCAAATGCACAACTCCATCGTTTGCTGCGACGCGCTAACGGTACTACATCGCCATCACGTTACGAAAGAGAGCAAAGAACACGAAGATAATGGTTTTGGAGCGCTGCCATGTGAGTGCTACGCGAATTTCGGCATTTGGCACGATCATAAGTTTCGTCATGAGCGGATACAACTATGGCATATTGTACCTGAATAGAGTTAACAAATCTACAGTTGAAATTGCGTTTCTTGCTAATCGCTGTAGAGCCTTGAACAACTAAATGTGTGCGTAACGGTATTCGGCGGGTACCTTTGGTGGAAAGCTTGCAACGAATGTAAAGCCCAAAATCGCCACTACTCCAGGATACATACCCAAAAGCGAAGGTTGCTGAGGTGACATGAGATCAGATGCTGGCACCGCGTTCAGTTTTGGAGGGCTCTGGTCAACAGAATCAATGTGAGGTTCAGTGACATTCTCGCGAGGCAAGGCAAAAAATATCCACGTTGGCTCAGCACGCTTCATAACATTGCGCAGTTCATCAATGATGAGACCCCAGACACCCTCGGAAATCTTGTGTCCATATGTGACCAACATGACTTCAAGCGCACGTGGCGACGCTGCTGCAAGCTGTTCGTCAGCATCAGCATCCATGCACTTGCCCAACAGAAAGAGAACGTCCGGTAAGAATCCCACAATATCGTAGAAAAGCCCGAAGCACTCTAGCAGCCGCTCGAGGCACAGCGTTGCAGTGGTTTTTCCAGCAGAGTAGTGAGGCATGCGGCTAGACAAATTAAGCGTCGGTGGCAACGTCAGCTTGGGCGACATATGTGCACCCTTGTTCACAACAACCTCAAGGTGGCGCAGCTCGTCCAGCAGAGGAATAAGGACATCTTTAAAAATCACCATCCACAGACTAGACAAAAACTTCGTGCCATGAGTCTCTAACGCGTCGAAGAGCGCTTCCTGTGCTGCAAGACGCACGTCCAGACGACGGTCAGCAGCAAGCGTATATAGAGCTGAGAGCACAGGCCACCACACCCGCATATGTGCAGCTGAGTCGTTGTAAACCGTCTCGCTGCTCACAAGATACTCCGGCTCCTCGGCTGCCACAGCATCAGCGCCTTGATATGTCGGTAATGAAGCAGCAGCAGATGTTGATACCTTGGGTGATGACAGCTTAGCCATCTCTCTCTCTAGTGAGCGCATAGATTCTGCTTCTGGTGCCGCACCGACTGAACGCCATCAGCCGTGCCACTATCACCGGTAGGATCGTCCGCTACAATCCTGATTGTCTTGAGACTACCACGAATTGTCTGCTTGGCTGCAGAAGCTGAAGCAGCTAAAAAGGATCGTGCAGTTTCACGAGCAGCAAGCGGCTCAATCACCTCTCCAGTCGCCAGCTTTTCAATGCAGACGCTACGTAGAAGGCCAATGCTGTCAATTCCTAACTGCGTGAGTGATATTTGCTCCTCCATTTGATGCTCGACCTCCTCACAACCGCATACTGCAAAAGCCAGTAGACACTCGACAGCGTCGACGAATACATCGACGATGCAGTCAAAGTGACGCTCCAACACGCCACGCGCGATCTGAAATCCTAGCAACACCACTCGATTTTCGCTGCCAGGCGCATACGTCTCGGCAGCTATACGCAGCACACCCCAAATTGTTTTCCATCCAGAACGGATGTTATCCACTCGAGCGAGCACCAGGTTTTCAACACAGCGCAAAACCAGTTCACGGGTTTCGAGAGATGTGGCATTTGCCATGATTACTTCGAAAGGCGCCAAAAACAGCCGCTGGAAGTTAAAATCGCGAAGCTCTGCTCGCTCGAGAAATTTTACACTAAGCTGACGCAGCGAATCGATAGCGTACATGCCAACGGTCAAGTCCTCGTGGCATCCAACAGTGGTGAAGTGTCTCGACAAAGTCTGCCACGTTGCTGCCCACACCATACGGGAACGAGTTCGCATATTCATATCAGCTACTTCGACAAGCTTCTGCAAGCTGAACACACGAGGAAGAGAACCACCTATAGCACCAGACGGTCCGACGCCTGAACACTCTGACAGCGACACAACAGTAAGTTGTACGACAAACTCCTGAAGAGCTTGGTCACTCAGTGACACAGAACTTGAAAAAACACGATCGCTTGCAAGCTGATCAATCTCCTTCAGCACGCGTGCAGCATTTTCGTCTTCAATTTGGGCCTCGTCTAGTTCAGAGCCGCCCCCACGACCGCCAGTTTCACGCTGAGATTGGGACGGAGACGTAAGCGACAACCCTGACCCACCACGCTTACTGCTTGTTGTAGAGCCAAGCATACTAAACGAAGGCGTAAAATTACTGCTACTGTTGCGGCTAGATTGGCTACTTACGCCAAGGGACGGCTGTCTGCTAAAAAATAGGACAATTTACTGGCAACTGACCCACATGGGCTCTCGTACAAAGAAGGATTGGTTGATGAACCTGTCCACCTGTGAGAGGTAAGACAGCTAGAACGCAGCGCATGACAACGCATAATCAGTATTGATCGCGAAGGGTCTTGAACCAACAGATGGACTATGAATTGTCAAGACTTTATTGCAAGTATCTCCTTATCATGAACTGGACAGCTCTTCTCAGTCGCTTGAAGCTGGCAAGACTCAAATGCAATCACGCTTTCGCACCCATCTGCGTCTGCTTGTAACAAGCAGCAGCCTGTGGCAAAGCAGATGCGTTACAGACGATGCTAAATGGACGGACGGACAGCGATATATATATATATTAAATAGGATCTGTATACTCGTCTTACTGGTTTCATATATCGTGTTTCGGCACCATCTGTTCAATGAAGGTCAGGTTATTGTAACAGGTTACACGTTACGGTATACACATACGAAAAAGTGCACAATGTGCACACCACATAGAAGTTACAGCCGTGGTAAAGCTCTTCAAGGCACGCAGGAACCCAAGGAACGGTGGACAAGAGAGAAAAAAGCCCACAGAAGAGAAGCAACCGTTGAACGATGGACCAAAGAAAAAGGGCACCAAAAAGAGGAAGCGACCGTTCGATGCAAAAAATTCGTGGTCAAAGCTCACTGCCAGGGCACCTATCAATCGGCATTGAAACAAGTCGACCGCGTTTTCACATCGGTGGGCCGTGGTCCATTGAGGTGGATAACGGTCCCTCAAGGTAGACATCGGTCCCTCTAGGTCGATTCTGGTCCTTAGTCAGTTTATGTCGGTCTCTCAAGGTAGCATCGATTCTTCGGCATTCGATCTTGGTCCCAGAGAGTAGGCCTGGTAGGCTTGTAGGTGGCCACTCGGTCGACCTGGTTAAGGACAGACTTTTAGCCAAATTCTTTAGGGGAGATTCTCAACCCTGTTCCTCTCCTTAATCTCTCAGGGGTATTAACCGCCTGGCCTTTATTTTCCCTGACAGCTAAAGCAGGGAGACCGCTTCCGATAGCGGGCCGATTGGGGAAGCTTCTCAGACGAACCCACAGGCCAAACATATCCTGGGGCTCTGTCGCCACATGGGTCTTGTCACACGTCTGTCTTCGACAAGATGCCAAAATTTATCTCTTTCCGAAGCAAGTGGGCAGACTTACCAAGTTCCTTATAAGCGTGACAAAGTCGTGCCACGTGGATCGCAAATTAAGTTGCACTGAATGTTACTTAATATAGTCCTTACCTACAGCTTTTCACGCGACCTTTGCCTTGTGCCTCGGTTCCTTATGATGATTGACCAGGGGTATTGTGGTGGATTGGCAATGACAGAAACTCTCTATAATCCCGACTTTCCACGGGCGATCGAGCTGCCGAATGACGGAGGCGGTACTCCGATACCGTATGCTTGACCTTCATCAGTTTGTGTTCCCGTCAACTGGGCGGGTTGCACTCTCCTCGGTGGATTTGCTCCGGTCTTTATCGTGATGTGCTCAGATAGAAGGTGGTGGGTAGCGTGGAAATTCCTCACGCGATCGCAGTAAACACCGGCGTAAAAGCTGCTTTAATCCACCCTGGGTCCACCGTACCCCTTTTTTAAATATCCTCTTTATACATCTAGTAGATCTTCTGAACGCTTAAGCCTTCCTTAGCTTGAACGCTGCATCCGATCGCAGCTGACTTAATTTGAAAATACGTAACTTCTGGCCATAAATCATCCAGGGGTAATCTGCTGTACGTACGCGAACTTTCATTTTTCATCCGGTGACCAACAATCCACCCGGAGACCCACCGTCATGCGTTGCTTCAATCTTGATTGCGATCGGGAAGCGTGGTCTACACCACGCGATTCAATGTGCTGACGACTTGGTCTGAGATCGCAATTCGATCCGTAGACGACTTAATCGGCTGAGAGCAATCGCGATTCGTACTGTGTAGTCCACATCGTGCGATTTTTTATTGACCAAACACGTGAACATCAAAATTCTTACAACTACTAGATCACCTGATCGAACCGAAAAGAGACTATTTTCAAAAGTATTCATCGCCGATGATCTCATCGCTTAAGGTTAAGAAAAGGTTAACAAGCGGATTTATATGCTTAAAGGATACAACGTAACGCTCTGGTAGAGCATGTTAAAGCAAGATGCATACATCTGCGCCATCGTATATGGCGACTGTGGCGCCTCAAGTGGTCCACACACCAAACCTCATTTGGATGAAAGTAGGCCAATTCGGAGGCAAGGAAGGTGGCAACCTTATGCTGTGATTTTGACAAGTTGAGTCGGCTATGTTTGTAGCCGACATCACCTATGAACCGCTCCATGTTCGCTTTACCACAGGTAAGTTGGGTGGATTAGCCGTGCGTCCAGCGCCACCGAGCCCATACCCTCTATTGCTGCAAAGACCTAGGTGATAACCGAGTCTCAATTGGCACTGGTGGTAGCGCAGGACGTTTTGGATTGTCGCCAGTTTCGTCCCATACGTTGTCAGGTCATGGGATCAAACGCGTGGTTTGCAGCTATGGCGTGGCGAGCTGCATCATTCGACTCAACGCTGGCAGGTGCTTTCTGCTGAGCAGATTAGAGTGAATCCGATCTTTTTATTAGCGATTGCTATCGAAGATCAAGAATTGACACGTCGACATTGATCCGGTGATTGATCGGATTAATTACGATCCGGTAATTGGCGATCCCGAGTGTACGACCTAATTGGACGTGGGCCACGCCAAGATAAGTGTAGGCAATGTGTGACGACACACGAGATCACGGAAATTAGATACTGGATATATTATAGCAGACAAAAGGCACGACCATAGGTTGTTGGGCTTTCAAGGTAAATAATGGAGTTTTAGTCCTTTTTTAGGCAAGCCTACCGCTTCTTCTTACTATATAAGTTGTTTTGGCCACCCGACGCCAATGAAGATCCACTACGCTTAGTGAAAGTTCTAGGCCTTAATTTTTTTGGCTAGGTGCAAGGAACTTACGGCAAACACAACCTGCGACCGGACGCAGCAAGGACGAAAAAAATCGAGATAGGTGCAGGACGGATCAAGTGGTCAGAAGACCAGCACAGGATTAGATTACAAAAAGGCTATCACGAGAAAAATTACGGAAAACATATTTGACCCTGCCGTCAATGACCCTCGGATGCGTGAAGGTCTATGTGTGATCGAAGACCGATCTTTTGCCCAACCGAGCTCTAAATTCTTTTCAAGTCGGCCAAGAGAGCGTAATGTCCATCCTACGTCTACATAAGGTGAGAAGAGCAATTTGGAACACGGATCGGAATGCTCACTCCGTTAATGGAAGTCTGGCATCTTTGGTGTCGAGTTGAGACCCACAATGTATTGATGGATCGCCGCTTTACCATAGTAGCGCACAAAGTTTTGATATAATTTACCAAGCTTGAGCAGATATAATCGGCGCGGTGTAAAATTTCAGATTGGCAAAGATTGTGATGTCTAAATTTTAGAAATGAAGCCACACATAGAAGTGTCCTCATTTCTTTGACGCGACTGCGGCCGGCTCAATTACAGCATTACTTAAAAACCATTTCTTGGCTTAGCCATCGTAAGTCTTCATGTAGCTTGGTAGAGACCTTAAATACTGCTCAACTCGAAGTAAAAGTGCTGATACAGTGCCGTGAACGGCCTTGCATCTACATTTACAGCCAGAATCTGGGCGCCAACAATTCATGCATAAAAATAATGAAGTATTGTATGATGCACCTGCGAAAAATAGCTTGAGCAAACGTGGCAAGTGTTGGCGACGGATCCGATCAGTTTTATGAAGGTATGTTTGACGTAGTAATTGGAGTCGCCGTGACCTTCTGGGATTGAGGTAAATAGGAAAGTGACATCCAAAAATATATGCGCTAGGTTCTAATTCGTAGCACATCTAGCCTAGGGGAATAGAGTTGGTCTGATAATGAATTAGTTGCAGTTCGGAGCTTTAACATTAAGTACACCCTCTCTGCAACCTTCACCATCATCAAAAATTGCCCTTCAAAGACCTTCTAGTCTGACCATTCTCCACATTCTTATCTTTATAATAACATTTTAATCGTATCAGGAAAGAGAGTTTCAATTACCTGTGTAAACTTATTCTTGAGCATCGCTTATGAAAACGCAAATTATGAAAGGATAAAATAAGAATCTTTAGCTCATATCTGACATCAATTTAGTCTAGCAAGTTATAACAATACTTGAAGTATGATAAGTCTGGTGTTGTTAGCCACATGCAAAGTTACAAACAATGCAGTGTGGAGCAAAAAGAAACTTTGGCTGCTTCAACAAGTGACATGGATTCAAAGGCAAATAATGCTTTTGAACAAATACTTAAAACCAGCTGCCATGTTTATAAAGGGCTTTCCAAGTCCTAACTATAGATTGCAGACGATTAATCAACAATAAGGTAAGAAGGTGTCTATGCGAAAAACAACGCGTCAGTTTAATACCCACCGTCGCCCATTTGTTATCCGCATGGATGGAGCAAGGTGTCAGAGCGTACAACCAACGAACTGCCTAAGTCAACATCATTGCGCAGATGGCTTAAAATACTCGCGTGCAATCTTATATTTGTAGTTGTAGGTAAAATGTCTTTTGAGCTTTATCGGTTTCAAGGCTTAGTATTTATTTCTCTTTCTTGAAGCTGTTGACCAAGAGAGTTAAGCTGAATGTTGTGTATTTTCGTCTGTGGCACTACGTATTTACAAAACGTCAAGTCTTATTGATTAAGCGGGTGTGCTAACATATAAGTATCACGCTTCATACGAAGCGCAAAAAAAAGCTACACATTTCTCTTTGCCGAGGAAGGATCCAAACCTCAGCACGCATTTGCTACAGGAATCTACATAATCAGAGAGCCAATTAGTTTAAAGGACAAAAAACATA